TACAGGTTTAATCACTTAATTTTTGTCAACAAATATTTTGTACTTCATAACATTACTAGTAAATATTTTACTAGATTTTGCTATAGACTCATATGGTTCAAACGACAATAGATATTTAGCTGTGTCAAGTTGACCTATTTGACAATATTCCATATTAGAGCTGTTGAATTTAAAAGGGTTAACACAAATATTTAATCAGAAATTAATGCACTAATATACATATTCCCAAAAGTACTTTTTCATTAGCTTCCATAATTAAATGCTACCCTAAACCATACTATAACTGTAAACCCCATATTAAATAAATAATTTAATACAATTAATAAATACTATTAAGCAGACTTTTAAAAAATAGTTTAATTTACTTAGAATCATTGTAAATTGGTCCTTCAGACATATATCCAGGATCTGTAGTTAGATATTGTTTTGATTGTATATCATATTGTAGAACATCACCATCAGAAACATAACCTATTGAAAAAAAATGATTTTAAAATTTTAATAATTTAATCATTTATTATTACCTGAAGATTGATGGCCATAGTCTGAATCAGCAGAGATACGTTTTTCTTGAAAGGTGCAATTTCCTGAATTCTGAGTCAACCCTATCATTAGTATAAATAATAAAGTACTAATAATTAAACCATACAAATAAATATTTATTCATAATTATAATGTATATATTATTATTACAAATATTTACAACTATTAAAGGTCATTAAAAAGTATAAGAAAAATAAAATCCTAAGTGCCAATAAAATACGTAAAACTTTTAAAAAATATATATTCACATTTTTCACCTAAAATAATACAATTTTTCTTTAATTTTAAGATTACCAACTAATAAATCAATAATACTATTTTGATATTTTTTAAATGCTCCTTAATTTAATTAATATGTTCGTTTACAACTCAGTAATTCCAAGTCCATATTTTTAACATATTATCATTTCATTCTTAATTTGATTCATTTTATCTATATTTACTTATACATTTATAATTATCCTATAAAGAAGTTAGGGATAGTAGAGTACTAAATAAATTATTTGATAAAAATTAAAATAAAAAATTATTGTAGACAAAGTGATAACTTTATTTGTTAGACCCTCTCTCAGTGATAGGTGAACACTAAGATTCAAAAACTACTCAACAGATTTGAATAAAATGTGTAAAACTTACTGAAGGCATAAAAAACAAATGCCTTTTCAAAAGACTATTTTTACTAAGTATTATATTTTTTACAATTATAAACTAATGTTATTTTTTTCTTGAAAATTCGCAAATAATTAATCAAAGGCAGCCATTTTGTTTATATATACAATAACGAAAACTTCGATCAGGTACTAGAATAATTATTTAACTAATGATATTTTTCTTGTTTGATTGATTTTATATGAACCTGTAAAATTTATGATGTTCATATCAAGACATTGACTTTTGGGAAGGAATCCAACAAATATAGCTATTACTTGGTCTACAATAATTTTTTTTTTTAATTTTGGTAAAATAAATATATATGAATATAAGTAATATATAAATATTTTTACAATATTTATT